TCTAGCCCCAGACTAACTCACAAAAGGGTGAGATCGAAGATTATTTCACTGTTCTCATCGGTAACCATACTCCGCTAAACTCTTTCACTAGGTTATACACATTCTAAAATAAATTCTATATTACTTACCATAAACTTTAAGGTTTGCTGAATCTGATACGTGACCATATCGGCCAGTAACAGTAACTTCATATGTACCAGCATCATATACTGTGACATCACTGATGTGAAGCTTAATATCCCCCGTCTCTGTATCATAGGTGCAAGTGTAATGCTGAGTAGGTGGGGTTTTTAAAGATGGCAATATATGACCAACATTTAATTCACGACCATTTAGTGACCAACGAATCTGTAAATCGCTCATCTGATCGGTTGGATGTGATGATTTTCGTATTTTTGGCAAGTAAACAGCGCAACGTAATACTGTGGTACTACCTTCTGCTGCAGTAACTGATCCCATAGGTGTTAATATTTCAGGTGCTTGACCACGTGGTGTTATTCTAGCGTGTACAACGATCTCTTCAGATTCTTTTGATGATGAAGTTTGATAATCATTATAATAATATTGGCGAGATTCAACAGTAGATCCTCTTGATGTTTTACGAATAGATGCCGATTCGGTTGTTTCTCTTTCATTGCTGTCGTGTATGTAACTAGCATCCAGCCAACGTAAAAGTCTTGTGTAAGCGCGTTATTAATTCGTTCAGCTATGTCATCTTCTATAATTTCGTCATGCATCTGTGATTCAAGATTCCTAGATATACCTGATGACGGTGGTCTTGGTAGTGATAGCGACTTGAATTTACTTTCACTTTCTTCAACTATATCAGACTTTTTACCCGCCGTACTTGTTATCCACGGATGTTGTAATGCCTGGTGAACTGTCATTCGTTGTTTTGGGTCAGGATGTAACAAACGTTTGGTAAAATCAACCATTTTTGAAGAATAATGCATTTTTTCAAGCTTTTCTGGTTCAGGTAATCCTTCTGTGTCACCAGTAGTCCTGCAAAAATAAAATGAATCCTCTTATTATCAATGCTAACAAAAAATTGACAACAGCATTAACAAATAACATGAAAATAGAGCTAACTGCAAACTGAGTTTGGGGGTTGTTTGTTCTTAGCATGAACTGATAATGAATGCAGAACCATTAGGCACTAGACCGGTAAACAGTTTTCTTAGCCCTATTATAGGCTACCTCAATAGTGCGTTTATTTATTCGCTATTAGATCGAGCTCAAGACTTTCAAGTTACCGGTTGAATTGAACACCTAGGTCAAAGTTCATTGGTTAGTATTTCATAGATTTAAAAATCCATTAGTTAAACTTTAAATCCTTGAAAGAGTCACCTGCTTCAATTCACAAATTTTCCCATTTGATATTAATTCAAATGATATAATCAAAATTATTATCATTTAAAATTATCACTCACATTTGGTAGAGTAACAGACCCAACGACCACATATCAGCAGATTGACCAATTCTAGCTGATTTACTAATCGGCATAGAACTAGTCAACTCTGGTGGGATGTACACCATAGAACGGAACGATAAACGAACAGGCTTATCACTTATTGGTGCTTGTGTTTGTCCTAAATCAGTCAGTGCAACACGTCGTTTAGACTGGTCAGTAAGAATATATTTTCTGGCTGCAATAAGAAAAGAAATACAGAAAACATCAAGTTATGAAGTAGGAATACACCTTTCTGATAATAACATAGCTTAAAATAAATAGATTTGTTCTCAGTATTCGTTTGGTTTTTATTCCTTTTCGAACACACTTTCTCCCTCTGTATCCAACAAGCTTCAAAACTTCTTTAGGACAACCAAGAGAAAGATAACAAATAATCAAATCAATAACAATGCAAGAACTATAATAGAGCTGAGGGAAAAGTAACCCAAAAACTGGATTAACACGCTGATCAATATTCAAAGAGAGAACAAGTAAGTCCAACTTTACTGCCATCTTTTGCTACAAGTGAGTCATCTGTCTATAAGCCATAATTTGTGTTTTCCCCAGTTAGAAAGTATTGGTTGTTGCATATGGCTGCAAGGTACAATCAATAACTCGATAGAATGGTGGCTAAGAACAGGTTGTAATCATTAAGGAAAGATTATCTCATAATTATTCCTACGTAGATAACATATGGTGGCCAGATGCTACTGTTGTTGAATTCCACACTTGATCCTTGAAGAATGAATTAATATCTGAAGAGAGGTGCAAGATGTCATATGCACGGTATTTCAAGATATTTAGAAGATAGCTGGATAGTAACAGGATTTATACCGTTGCCTAATCCATTTCCTGTTTCATTCTCATCACTAAGTCCTCAACTGTAACCATTAGGTTAACAGGTTAAATGTTTTATTTCGCTTTGAACAATGCTAGCTAATCAATAAAGTGTCAGTTCAAAGAAAAAAATCTCCAGCAGAAAATGCATATCTTGAAAAAACAGGCAAGGATTAAATATCAGTCAGATCGTTACTGAAAAATACTTAATGCAAAAAATATGCCTAAGAAAAGAAAAAATTGATATGGAGATTTTGGACATATGTTTATACTATACTGTATTGGCCACCGCTGCTTCAATCCAAATAGCTTAGTGGTAACGTGGCTGAGCGCAGAAGCGGGTGACGCGAGATATAATCTCAGACGGGGGATTAGTTCCGAAGGGGTTGCTGCTAACCCTCATCAAAGTGCATAGCAATGTTAAGTCAACTAACCTGGTGTCCACGAAAAAATCATCAGTATAATCCAATCAGCACTTGGGACTACACAACATGAAGTTAGTTACCCTGCAGCGACCAACCAGTGTAATTAATCCATTCCTACAGAAGGTTAGTCGTGGGCCCGAATAGCTCAGTGGTAACGTATTTAAATGTATATACATATAGCCACTAAGGTGCATAGGATTAGGAAATTTCAACAAAAGACTTCTAAATTCTCTCAGATTACAAATGGGTGGACTTTTGATCATTTTCAGCATAGATACAGTATCCTATAGATAGACATAGTGACTGTGAATGAAATAAGATTCGAGTAAAGTCGAATTGGAAGTAGCCTTCTCGGTAGAAACAATCTAGTTATCTATCAGATGGATCAGTTGGTGTGATCTCAGTTCCAAACCTCGTGAATATAAATTCCACTAAATGCAGCTATTGAAGGTAACTGAATTATTATTACTTCTCGTGTCCAACTGCCAAGGTGGGTGAATCCCAAACCGTAAACACGAAGTTGAAAGCAAACAAAGACCAATTATAGACATAAGGTAGGATGTAATCTCGATAAATATTTGAAGCTAGTGATTCATAAACATCACACTGTCTAAATAATATTAGCATATTACACTTTAATGACGTATTTTCCAACTTAGTCCTTCAAATAAGCGCTTTTTAAAAACTGAATGAGATGCATTCATGGCCACAAAGATGCCATTCTATGACAACATATACCAGTGTGGAAGTAGGAATACACAGTGTTGGCAAAACTTCTTGTATTTCAAACTTAAAAAGAGTAGACAAGGTAGGAATGCTGACACATAATATTGCGCCATAAGTGCATTCGATTCATAATTAACCAAAAAGGAGATCACAAGTTAGTGACAGCCAGCCTTTGTACAGATTTTCAGCAAGGCAACTACATGAGTCAGTTTTTGACTGAGAAAAGACAACCTTACTAGAAGTCAGGCACTATGCTTAAATATGCTGAATTTAGTCCCTTTAATATACGTAGGAAGGATAATAATAATAATATTTAATTGACCTTAGCAATAATATTCAAAGATCATGTTTCACTCTATTTGGGTCTCTTCAGCTAAAAGCCGTGTAACAGGTTCAAAAGAGGACGAAACATGTATTGCCGATTTCATTGCGGACTACTGCTAAATTTAAGCACAGTATGACCTGATGTAATGCCAAGCTATCTGTAAAAGATGCTTTTGTACCATTTCAGTCCCGTAAACGCAATAATGAAGAAATTCATATTCCATTAAAATGAAACTTTTAGGAGGATTAATCTGATGTATATAGTGGTATACAAGACTTTTCACTTGCCACATACAGAACCTATGCAATAGGGATGTTAATTCCCTAGATGAGTTTGTTCTGATCCTTTGTTTATAGTTACAATATGTCATGAAAATAGAGTTATACTTACCTGTAAACCAAGATGCACGCGACCACTTTTGTGTATTTGTGCCGTTAAATCCAAAAGCTGACGTAATATGTCAGCTGCTTTATGCTCAGTCACTGTAATACGTCTATCCAATTGGTGCCATAATGTGTCTCCAGCCGTAACACTAAAATTATCAACAGAAATATGGAAAAATTTCATTTCAGTGGATAATTGTCTTCAAAATATATGAAAATATACTACTGACTGAGAAAAACTTGTTTGAACCAGAATTTGTTGATTAAACTAATAGTGTGAAGTAAAAATATTTTCGTCAGTTTATCTCAAATCAAGTTGAGCTCAGTAGTGATCCAATCAGATATATACATGTTGTGCAGCTGTGTAGTACGGGCTGTGTTAGTGAAAACAGCTAGTTAAACGAATTAGTGAAATATTTCTTAAGGACGGACATCAAAAAAGGGGTAACTGGAGGTTGGACAATGATGAACACTTCTTGGTTTAGTATCTTCCGGTGATACTTACCCTCAGTTATTTTGGATCAAAAGATTTACTGGTGAGAAACATGACTAGAATCTAGTAAAAAAGTAAGTTATAGCAACTCAGAATATTCCGGACAGCTTGAGCGTTTTTGCATTTTCCAAGCTGAACCATCTTCTCCTCTACCTATTTTATATAAGAGATTTCGAGCTGTAGTTTTGTTAATGAAGCTTTTAACTGGTAAACTCGTTTACATAAAAACATTTAAGACATGAACATTTCTTCAGAAGAATCCTAAGCCAGACTACATCCTGTAAACAGTTTACATAAAAACTGCTGTGTTTGCAGAAATTCCTGTGTCCATCTTCAAAACTTCTTTATCGCATTTTAATTGAGTGATAATGAACTGACTGCTAATGAGGAGTATGCAATTTTCAGTTGATATTTTAGTCAAAGTAAAACTCCCTACTTATTGTGGTTGCGTTAATATTTAGTTGAATATCTCGAACCCAGCACTCATCCGTCCTGGAGACAATCTAAATATGTTTAATTCAGGACTAGTCGAAATTTTACGGTATAAGTCTCATACTTTGAGTATTTTTGTCATCTTAATGACTTTTGTATTTTTGAGATGAATGGGGATTTTTAACTTAGAAGTAGTAATCATCATGGACTGACATCAGTTGCGGAAGCATTGGAAATCTGGGAGCACTGGGCAGCTCTTTAGTCCTAGTATGGAACTCCTCAGCAGTATGCACCCACGACCCGGCTAGGGATCGAACTCAGGACCTTCAGGTTTCACGGCGAACGCGTTAGCCATTCAGCCACTGGGTCGGTTTCCAGTGGTTCACAGTTCCCAACTTCTGTCAATTCACGACATAGCGCGACTGTCACCCAAGGTCTTCAGTTAGCATCCACTTCACTTCTGACTGGTTGACCCCGAAGGTCCTGAGTTCGACCCCCAGCCGGGTCGTGGGGTGCGTATTGCTGAGGAGTCCCATACTAGGACGAAACAGCTGTCCAGTGCTCCCAGATTTTCAATGGTTCCCCAACTGATGTCAGTCCATGATGAATACTACTTCTAAATTCTTGACTTTTATCAGTTGAGTTGACCCCGACCGATAGCTGCTACCTTGACGTGGTGGTCGGACTTGCATATCACAATGACCCAACGAGCTATGCTGGTGGAACGCTTGTTCCCTCGAGGTCCTACCATACCAGAAAGGTCTGTTGGGTAGTGGTTAGACGAAAAGCAGTTACCGTTATAGTGTAAATTGCTACACTATGATGGGGGTCTGAGGGCGAAGTCGTACTGCTGCTAGCTGGATGGGGTGTGACAGCAGTAAGGTGTTTCCCTTGGACGACCAGCAGTGCCATGCTGATGCTGCCTTCTCAGTGGAAGGGGGGGTTAGAAAAGGTTGGCCCCAAAAATAAAACACTCCACCACGCCCCACGGTCTGCCGGGCCGGCGGTGTTGGTTCACTTGTCGTTTCCTTTCGACCATCCGGCCCCAAAAATACAAAAGTTCAAAATAATCATACTCAAAAGGCTGGGTGTGACAGGCCTCAAGCAGATGTCCGATGGGCTCTGCGGTCACACAAATCTCTTTCAGGTACCTTAAGAAGAAATAGCCTTCCACGGTGTGGGCAGCCGGGAAGTGTCAACCGCCCTCACAACTCTCTCAGCACCCAAGTTTCTTCTGACTGCTATCCTCCTCCTCCATCATTACCTTCTAATCTTCCTTCACGTCTCTTAATTAATGATGCTGCATCATCTTCAATTTCTCCTACCTCTGCAGCCTTCGACAACGATCTGAGTCCACAGAACAGCGTCCCTGGTCTCCTTAAACCACGCTCCAAATTACATATTGGAGCCTTCAATGTCCGCACCCTCTGTCAAATTGGTCAACAGGCTTCGTTGTCTCTTTGTAATCTCTGCTTACGCACCCACTGACTGTAGTTCGGATGAAGTGAAGGACGAGTTCTACCATAAACTGTCTAACCTCCTCTCGAAAGCCAAACGTTCGGACGTAGTGGTTGTTGCAGGTGACCTCAACGCACAGGTGGGTAGACTGAGTGAGGCAGAAAGGCACTTAGGTGGCACTTTCGGAATCCCAGCTGAACGTACAGATAACGGTGATCGCCTATTACAACTATGCTCAGATAACCGCCTATTTTTAGCCAGCACAAATTTCAGACATAAAGAAAGGCACTGTCTGACCTGGCGTCCACCGAGCTCGACTCAGCGATGGACACAGATAGACCACATTGCTATTAGTCATCGCTGGAGAGGATCGGTGGAAGACTGCCGCTCCTTCTGGAGTACGTGTTTGGACAGCGATCATGCGTTGGTCCGAGCACGTATATGCCTGCGTCTCAATGGACGTAGAAAAAATTTGGCAACAAAACCACTACGAGTTCTGCTGGACAACGAAAACACCAAAGCCGTGTTCAGTGAGAAGTTGGCTAGGCAGTTATCGGAACAAAAGACTGTCACTCATCCAGAAGAAGCTTGGTGCCATCTTCAGTCTACTGTAAAAGCAGCACTGGAGACTGTAGCCGACTCCAAGATAATGGCTAAAAAGAGCCAGTGGATATCAGCAGCTTCTTCCAAACTAATGGATGCACGTGAATGCATCCCTGCAGGCTCTGAGTACAATGAAGAGCGAGCGCAACTTAAAAATAAACTGACGAAAAGTCTGCGCAACGATCGTGAACAGTGGTGGGCAGCAAAGGCTAAAGAGATGGAAAAGGCAGCGGCGATCGGTAACAGTAGACAGTTATTTAGACTTATTAAGGAGACTGGGGGGAAATGGTCAACAACAGTTAGTGAGGTTATAGCGGAGAAGGACGGATCGGCGATTCACTCGCAGGGAAGGCGACTGGGACGATGGGCAGAACACTTTGAGGAACAGTTTAACTGGCCTCCAGCCACCATTGCGCTGCCCGCTATCCAGTCGGACCCTGAATGGGACATAGAGACAGGTCCCCCAACACTAGAAGAAGTTGAGAAAGCGGTAGGTAGCCTGAAACGGGGAAGGGCAGCAGGACCAGACGGACTACCTGCTGAGGTATACAAGAATGGTGGTAGAGTTCTCTTAGTCAGGCTAACGGAAGTGTTAGCCAGTATATGGGAATCAAATACGATCCCCTCCGACTGGTCTAAGTCACTGATCATCCCAGTCTTCAAGAAAGGCGAGAAGTCCTCTTGTGATAACCACAGAGGAATCAGCCTGACAAACATAGTGTCTAAGATCCTAAGTTCTATAATTCTCCGACGCCTGAGTGGAGCTCGGGAACAGCAAGCCCGAGAAAACCAGGCAGGCTTTAGACCTGGCCGTGGATGTATCGACCAAATATTCACACTGCGCCAGGTCCTGGAACATAGGCATGCTTACAGACGCCCGACAATAGCTGTATTTCTCGACCTGAAGGCGGCATTTGACTCCGTTGATCGAGAAGTCTTATGGCAGTGTCTGTCACTGAAAGGCGTGCCTAGTAAGTACATCACCTTATTGAAAGCTCTCTACTCGAACACTTGTGGGCATGTTAGAGCCTATGGTGAGTTGTCCAGGGAGCTATACTCATCAAGTGGTGTCCGTCAAGGATGCCCACTATCCCCATTCTTATTTAATTTTATCATAGATATTCTTATGGAGGTTTCCCTCTCGTCACCTAATTACAAAGACGTTGACCGGATCACAGGTGAATTTTCCTTAGATCTAGAATATGCAGATGACATAGTCCTGTTAGGTGAAGACGCTGACAAGATGCAGAGTCTTCTGAACACTTTGAGTGGGAATTTGAGAATGTTTGGGATGCGATTTTCACCACCCAAATGCAAATTTTTGCTCCAGGACTGGTCTTCAGCGGTACCGCGGTTAACAATAGAGAGTGAAGTGGTTGAGTGTGTTGACCACTTCACTTACCTGGGAAGTAGGATCAACCCGGTGGGTTAGTTGCCGATGAGATTTCTGCACGGATACAAAAGGCTCGATTGGCTTTTGCCAATTTGCGCCACCTATGGCGCCGCCGTGATATTCGTTTGTCTATTAAGGGTCGCGTGTACTGCACAGCAGTCCGCTCTGTTCTACTGTATGGCTGTGAAACATGGCCATTGAAAGTGGAAGACATGAGAAGGTTACAGGTATTTGACCACCGTTGCCTTCGTAGTATAGGACGTATTCCGTGGTGTCACCATGTGAGTAATGCAGAAGTTAGGTGTAGAGTTTTAGGGAGAAGAGGTAAGTCAGTCGACGAGGTTGTGAACCTTCATCGACTGAGATGGTTGGGACACGTACTACGTATGCCTAGTCACCGATTGCCTCGTCACACAATGTTGGCTGAGGTGGGTTCAGGCTGGAAAAAGGCCCGAGGTGGCCAGACTAAAACATGGCACCAATGTATGAAGTCTCTGACTGTTGGTTTAAGCCATGTAGGACGATGCAGACTAGGTGGTTGGGGTCCACGGGACAAGAGGAACCAGTGGTTGGAGACCCTAGGTGATATGGCTCAGAACCGAAGTCAGTGGCGCAGATGTATACACACATTATCCTCATCTTAACAACGCTATACCGAATCTCACTATTTTGTCACTCCTCTTTCCTTTCTTCTCGTACTTTATATTTCTTTTGACTGCATTCACTTATCTTCATCCTTCACCTCACTACCTTTTTACTTGATGTGCTGATATGAGGTGTGGCAACTCGGACCGTTACGCAGTAATGCCTGGTCCTATGTTGATAATGATGATGATGATGAGTTGAGTTGACCTTATTATTCTCCTGGTTAGTTTTCTATTTTCTAAGGGGCAAACACAAGCATTAGAACTCCATTTACTCGTAACCTGAATCTGAATATGTCAATACTAATTATAACACTATCCTGATATGTGGCGTGCAAGGACTACGATGCCAACACATGCAAATGGTTGCTGTTTACGAAAGGTATTTGTTCCAAACATATATATTTCGTTTATAGAATGCACACTTTCAAAAGTGTGTATGCTTTTTGAGTTGGTCATTCGCTTGGAGATAAATACACAGACTAAGATCTTTTGTATGACAAGATGCATTATTGAATAAAATCGTCCATAATCATCAGGGAAATCGGGTACACACATCACTATGCTACAAACACTGAGAAGCTACTTCATCACTTATGAGAGGGCTGTTAGTGGTAGACTTGAAATTGAAGTGTCCAGTCAATTTGAATCTGTTAAGGTGAGTAAGGGAACTGGCCATATCGGGAATCTGTTGCAATACTTGATTATTGTTCACTACTTTTATATTTCACCTTGACTTCTACATTATATTAATGTAAATATTATCTTATCTACGTCAATGAGTATCTATCTTAGGCAGTTAGTGGTGACACTAAATCAAATGGATGATAATCTGTGACCTGGATTGGATACTATCCCATGAATAATGCAAAGTTACTAAGGTATAAACTACAGTAATTAAGAATTGTGAGTTAGAAGAATACACTGAAATAGAGTAGTCATTCAATTAACCTATAGTTGAAGAATTTCTAAGTCAGCATTTTCGAGTTTTTTTCCAAGTCATTTACCGTTGACAAAAATTAAGTCACAGAAAGCAGCCAAGTATTTCGTTTCACCTTAACGTCCTGTCGGCTGGTGTATTTTTGATAATGAGTTAAGTTACAGTAGGAATCAAAGTTAACTAACTCTGATTATAAATCAAACGACCAGAGTGAATCAAACCTGATGAGTCCTACATCAATGAGTTAGAATAGATTCATCGTCTATTATGAGTTCGATGAAGTTACGCAATTTATCTACTAGTTTGCGCAACTTAATAAATAAGGCATAATTCAGTCATTCAAACAGTTATCGTATAACTATGCTGATGAGAATCCCAATGACAGGATCTGTATCTATCGAATTATTACGGAAATTTTCTCAAAACCGATACGTTTCATCGGTTACACTTCATTTTACAGTGTGAAATGGATACACTCACAACCGATATTGTCTACAAATCAGAATAGCTTAACTTCAACCACCCAGTGTAGATTGTTCTCGTCAAATAAACATTTCGTAGCGCAGTAGTTTCTGTTTATTATTATCTTTCAACCAACAGAAGCTAGGTGGTAAGACTTTATCTAATAAGCATTCAAAATTTTGGCGTCTTCATAGTAGCAGTATTTACGTCTATCTCTCCCCTGGTTCGCAAAACGTTTCGACATCAATTGATATATATCAATAAATATGCACCTGGTGTTCACAATAGTCCGTCAATGAGGAATCAAAAACAACTGTTTTGTTTTTGTTTTCTCACTATGAAAGGATTATACCTGAATGAGTAATTTATTCGATTATCCACAAAAGTGTCAATCAAAGCAACCAAATGGTAAAGCATCTGAAATGCAAACGCAATAACTTACTCTTCCATAACACAAATAGTCCTTTTAGCTTCTGTATATGCCTCATGAAGGTGTGCAAAACTTTCTTGTTGAATGCGTGAAAACAGCTTCAATTCGCGTTCAGCCTTCTCTTGTTCCCAGTCAGTAATATCATGTCGATTAGTGTATCGTGAAATATCATATGAAGCACGTCTGCGCACAGAACGTTCATTATCCAAAACGCTAACTGGGCGTGGAGGTAATTCCGGATAACTGATATCACGTTTGCCTAATGCACTAGCCGGACGTCTAGATAATGCGGATGGAGTTGTATCTACAATCGTAGCCAACCAAGAACGGCCAGTCGAGCGTTCTGCAAGTCGATACAGCCCAGAGTATTTCGTACTAAAACAGCAACAAAAAGAAATCCAAGTTACTCAAAGTATCTACTAGAAAGTAGTTAAGTTGCTCTGTCAGAACTGAAAAACGTATTTTATTGCTATTATTTATTGTTTTTCAAAAGATTCTATTCAATTTTCTTTCGTTGTATTATTTCCGTGGTGCCCTACTTGGGAAATAAGTCCACCCCAATACATATCTAGAAATAAAATGAACAACTGATAACTTCCCTTTTTGTCCAACTACACACAAGCCAAAAGTACGCAAGATGTTACGGGTATCACAGAATGTAGATCCATCATGGTTACTTAAATATATCTACAATATTCTTGAACCACATAAAATGAATAACATAGTGGAACATGGAGAAAACCACTTTTAAAAGTTATGAAATCAACTGGTAGATAACTGGTTGAAAATGGTACTAAAAGTAACACTGTATCATTCAGTGGTTCTGCAACTGGTGTCGTTTTGTAATGAATATTACACTAGTCTCTAAACTTCATTTGGTCGTTTACCTACGACTTAGGAAGTGATAAAGGTGAGCTAACAATGTTGGATTGCAAGATTAACGGAAAACAAGACGAGATTTCAGAGACTAGTGTCTATAGGTAACCTCTACATTTGAATTGCAACTTGGATTTCAATCATCTCAATCCACCTAAGATAAAGCAGGTTTAGTTGAATGCATGAGTAATAGGGCAAGAAAGCTTGCTAGTAGGACAGAAAATCTACAACAAGAAATTAGAAACATCAAGAATACCTTGCATCTCAATAATTACCTATCTAAATTTATAAACAAATTCACAAGAAGTCGAGAGGAGAATATTAGCAGTTGTAGGGATAGTAGTAACACAGGTGTCATTAATAACAATTCCCATGATTAACAGTAATAATAGTGAGAAGGTTTAGAGTGGATTCAAAGACTCCACTGTATCACCATACAAAGAAGGGACTTCAGAAGCGTTAGGAAGAATTATCAATACGGCTGGAATTAGAGTAGCATTCAAACTCACAAGCTCACATAGAAATAAGTTTTGTAAAATCAAAGATCTTATTGATTCAATTAAACAAAATAATTTGGTATGCGAAACCCCCAGAAATGATTGAGAGGTTAAATACATAGGTCAAAGTAGTCGACCAGGGTCAATTAGAATAACAGAGTACAAAAACTTAGATAAATCAAGGTTAGTAGATCTTAGTAAGATAGGAACTTTATAGAAAAGCTCGACTATAGCTATGCACACAATTACACATTATCACACATTAGTGTGGGATAAAGCTACAGATTGATAACTGAATCCTTGTTTATCGAATCAACACCAAATATGTGCAATCGAAATGATTCTGCACTTGTCCCAGATACTTGGAAAATTCTACTACCTTTATCTCAAAGAAGGAGAGAAGATTAGGACTATATAAACTCTGTCTCAAAGTTGTGGAGTTATACGATATGAATATGGACAATAAATTGTGCCCGAAACGTTATCCAGTAAATGATACTGTTTCATTGTGTGACATTTCCAATAAATAGACTGGAGTGGAATTACAATCTACCACACTGCCCAAGTTTTACTCTTATATCTCTAGACTTCTTAAATTAGCTTCAAGAAAGCTTGTACTCGTACTCAGATTCTACCTAGTACTACTCAGTATGCTGAAATATTTGGATCAGTAATAACGTAACAAAATTTTGCTGGAAAAGTTGTTTCACCGATTTCCTATTGGTACATGGTTATATACATTGAACAAACCAGCCAAACGAATAGTCTTTAGTAGGTTGGGAAAAAGAAATTACGTTTACTTAAATCTCTGATGCTGAACACTACTAAGTTAGCATACCCAACAGTATGAAAGGATGAGACTCCCATCTTAAGACTTTGAGACTTTAATCATAGGAAGTTAACACGCCCAATGTAGGAAGATATGTTTCTGTTTGTAAGCAAAAACAATGTCTCAAGTAGTTTGTATGTTTTTTTCCATTCTCAAACCTGATCTCATTGCATATTACCTATATTGAAACAGTAACGTGTTTTAGTCTAATCATTTCTCAACCAACAGTATTGACAGCATTGTTAGAACTCAAACCGGAAGCTTAGACTAGTCGAAGTCCAACTCGGTTACTGTAGTAGGCAAAATTAACTGCAAACTCAAGGTAATCAAACCACAATATATAGTAAATGAAAGAGTGTAGAGATAATGCTTCAAAATCATCGTAAAACCTTAAATAGGGTAAATTTATCAAATATGATGGACAAATAAGCCTAACTGCACCGCAACTTAGGTTTTCACTTTACTTCTGATCATCATTCCATATCATAGTTACCAGTCTACCAAACCATAGCTATATCCGGTAGTCTCACCAAGAATACAGAAATAATCATATTCGTAAATCTAAAAAGACTGACTTCAATGAAAATTTCTTTATTTTCTGTCCTTTTATTAATGCAATTATAAATACTGCATCATTCTATTTGAAACACGCTGAGATCTATGAAGATATAACCTCTATCTAGTGTCAACATTTCACTTAGTATCTAATGTTTGTGAACTATTTAGTCAAGCTTGATCAAATTTTGCATAAATTACTTATGTATTATTCACTTACCGGGCCAGTTCTTCCATAATTTCATATCGTGAATCAAACGATCCATCTGTATAATGACGGAATTCCAAATCATCGAGATTCAAAACTGGAATGTAAAAAGGGATAGATAAATCCACTGAAGTAAGCATCTACCATAATTTTAATACATGAGAGGAACAAGTAGGAACCTTTTGATCCAGCTTTTCAAACCGAATGACGTGATTGCCAGAAGATATATATCCCTCGAAAACTCCAGCTACACCCGACCGAAGTGTCAATAAGCACGAGAACTAGGGTTCAATCCTGCTGATAAATGCTTCCTAGCACTTAGTGGCAAGCAAGACTCTTAGTGATATATAACTAACAAAACTTCTAAGCGCAATTCGTAACCTCATTTTGTAGGCGCTTATTAGTAATAAAAATCAGAACCTGTACCCCTTGTCACCTTGATCATATGATGTAGAACTCATGAATGACGACACAAGTAGATAAATTCAGAATCCTTCTATCAGTGTCACCAACTGCATACATATTTCAGCCAATTTATGAATACCTCTAAGTACCAACTGTCATGAAAATTTTTAGATTGAACTCATGCAGCTGGTTTAACCCTTAAGAAATTGCAAGGTTGAAATTATTTCACATATACAAATGGTTGCCAAACTTGCACGTACATCAGGCATTCACCTAAATTGATATGCAAAATCTTGAAAGAGGAGATAAAAGACAGAGAAGAACCAAGTATGAGATCCCAATCTGTTAATTTGAGCACCTCACAAGTGTGTACCTGATAATAATTTTCCGTAATTGAAGTTACAGAATAATGGATACACCAAACAAAATGGTGCAAATCAATCCTAGTTTTGTCAATATCTCTCTTTGACTGGGATTAAAAAACGATCTATCTGTAGTTACATTACCGTTAATCCTGCTTAAAACCATCAGCTTTGTACCTTTTTTCTATTTTGTTTCACCGTAATGTAAGGAATTGTGGTGATTTAGATATGTGTACTATGATAACAATCTGTATATTGAAACATTAGCATAAAACGTTGGATACTAGTCAGAAATGAAGCAAATAGTATGATCTGTTGTAAACTCGCGGTTTCATATTGTTCAATCAAAACTGTAGGAAAATAGCGTCGAATAAACCCACACCACATACATTCATCTTATAGCGATCAAATATGAGCATAATGTAATTAACAGTGGACGAGTTCGTAAGGCGAAGCAAAAGGGATAAGTTTTGTGTTGGGAGTATTTCGTAGTTTTTTGCAATCGTGCTTAACAAGATTTATATTGCACATTTGACAACGGTTATGTAGACATAGTTCTTAGCACTATCCTTTCCAACCATCTAGGAGCAAATGGAGACCAATCACCAGTTCGACACGTGAAAATAGTCAAAGTTCCTTGCATAACTGTTGTTGAGTTTAAACTTAGTTATACACTTAGTTTCCTTGACAAATTTCAACAATGCAAGAACAAAGGCATTTGCAAACGTCTTTGTTCTTGCATTGTTCAAACTTAGTTAGGTTGTTCTAAAATAAGGCGAAATTGCTATTTGTGGACACAGAAAAATTTAAGAACTTGTCAATTCAAAACCTAAAGTCTGTGTATGTTAGTGTTATTTTGCGTGATATAATGTGAAACATCTTTTCACTATGGTTTATTTCGCAACTAGTCACCAGTTCACCATTGAAACTTTCATGATTATTCTCTCTTCTTTCATCCTCTGCACTTCCATTAGGTGGAGAGAAACAATTTCCAGTTTGTTGATTGAGTTTGTTACTTTTCTCATTACTTTGTTCACCCAATAGGTTATTCATCCGGTTTTCGAATCATTACGTCAATGACACAGTCCGATCCCATTAATCCCTAATTAACTGCCATCTATGTAAAACAAGTAGTCAATATGATTGTACAACTTTAAAGAATGGTATCATCAGAGAACAATATATGCATATTATCTGGTCTATTCCCTTTGGGAAATTGTATTTATATAAACTGTTGTTAAATATACCTTCGGTAAAATGATGTACTGGTAACTGTGTAGCATCTGAGGCCTCACTAGCTGGTCCCAATCCATGCCAATTTTCTAGTCGTACTCTGAAACGATAATTTAAATCTTTCTCCAATTGACTACGAGCGGTGAAATGCGTTTGATCAGCAGATGTAGTACCTAATAGGTGCCAATCTTCACCAGGTTCATCACGACAGTATTCCACACGATAACCAGTAAATTTAAGTTGAGACTCCAAGCTTTTAGTTATCAAAGGTGGATCCCATTCAATGATTAGCGTTCCAGGGCCATGTGTTTTACTCTAGGTTTTTGCAATCGAATATGTGGTTTATCTAGGTAAATGAAAATAAAATGATGAGTGAAAACGCCTGTAATAAAATGGTAGAAAAGTCATCGAATTCTCTGAAAAAATTCTCTAAAAGAAAATAACAAAGCCAGATAACTAGAAGCTGCACAAATTTCTCTTTATCTTCAAAAACAATGAATAAAAAACTGAAATAAACTCATAGTTTACAGTTCACAGTGAACGTAAAAACACTAACCAGCAATGCGTAGACGTATATCAATATAATCTCGGCCAGCTTGATTCTGTATCCATAAGCGATATAGTCCAGTATCAGCTAGATTCAATTTATCAACAACGACCTCAACCAACGACAACCATATGATAAATTTAATCGAACACGATTTTCTAACGGTTCAACTGACAAACCGGTTGTTATATGACTTATGCGTTCGAACCAAACTTTTGTAATCCATTCTTGATCTTGTATATAATCTAAACCTTCTAATGGAATACGTAGATACCAGCTATCTCCATGTCTTAATTCGTATTCACGAGGTTGTGCAGCCCATCCGAGGCGACCGAATCGTGGGACAGCTTAAGAGAAAAAGGGGTCGAAAAGAAGAAAGATGAATACCACCGTTCAAATTTATGGATGTGAAAATGAAACTGTTAGCTACTTTGGTTTGAGTTATCTATCAACAAATGAATCATTATATAATGCTTGTTAAGTTAGAGTTTCATTGTTAGGTTTGAAGCCGTAACTCAATATTTACCGGAGAAGTTACAGTTTCTACATCATCCCAACGGCAGGTTTTCGACAGAAATATGTTCCAGTTTCTATTCGCCTTGGTTAGATTTTTGACAAAAGCTTCTGAGAGAAATTCAAGGTTATTACTCATATAGCTCAATCGAACTTTTCAGTTATCAAGGTTAAAAACATGTACACAAAATAAAGTAGGTATAAAAGCTCTAGCATATCTTTATAGAGTATTGTTTCATTTCTTGATGATGGTCATTGGAATTTCGATTTGATTTAACAAATATTTTCCATAAGGGTGTTGCTCTTCTGTGTCACTAGGTAGAATAAAACTAATTTTTTATCATTTTCATTGGCATTCGTAGAAGCAAAAAAATGTAAGCCAAAACACCAGACATCGTATCATTCTATCGCAGAAAAATGGAACTGTCATCCAAATTAATTACTGGGCAGTCAATCCTAAGTTATAGAATAGCATAAGTATATATATATATATATATATATATATATATATATATATATATATATATATATATATATACACCTTCGACCAGCACTTGTTTACTTAGTAATCCACATGAAATAACCTACTTGGAAGTATTCTAACTAAGCAGCAGCTGCGTAAGATGTTCAAGAATAATGATGTATGGATTTTTATTTCTATGAAGTTCTCTACAATGTATTGAAAAGCCAAAATTAGTACAAAGTCTTTATAGACCTCAAGATCCAAATTTGACCTTATAGAGCGGGATATGTTGAGCATTCGATATTTGTATTAAGTAGTGTTTGCTTAACAAAAATGTTCAAGCTACCTAATAGTAGCACCGGTTAGTCAGAATGAAGATGAGTCAAAGGATTGGAGATTACAGTTTCGAATCCTGCAGAAACCCGGATTTTCATATTTAGCTGTCAAATAACTACGCAGAGACCAGCCTATCAAACTAATGCTCTCTGAGATGGTTTCATTAACAAAACTCGGTTTTGACTGTTGACAATTTTGGGACAAACAGATCGTAGACAGTAATGAATCGGTTAGCTGATTTATTTTGTATCTATCAGTACGATTCCCTTTCATTTTGATGGAGACAGAGGTCCTCACTAATTAATTAGTATCCCTTCAGTTTGAAGTATTCTATTAGTATGGTACAGTCATTCTGCTTGATAAAAAACTTCACTTATCAGCTTTAAACACGTCAAGCCTCCGACAAAATATATTCTGAGATGTCTATTTCGTGATATGCATCATTTCTACCTACAACTGCATTTACTAATTCACATGTAACTGTGGAAGTAAGTTCACAAGAAGTACCGATGTAACAGCATCTACTCAGTTATATGAATACCTTCCAGAAGTTCGCATTTGAAAAGGATTACAGCTCAGGCGAGTGCAACGGCCATAAACATGATAAGAACCGGATACCAATCAGGTGTTCATTATGCCTTCAAAATAATAAATAAACGAAAATTACCCAGCTGAATATGCTTCTCTCAAGTCCTAGTAATCAAACAATAGAAACTAAAACTTTGTGATTATTCTTTCTTTAACCCAGTTTAACCCAAGGGAAAAATAAATAAATAATTTCTTTAACCTGGTCATTCGTTGTCATTTTGGTTACATTATATGTTTGTCTCTATCCTAGTGAGTTTCAATCAGATTTATATTGATGTTTTCTGGTTATTCATGGGTGTAGCAACTTTTTCCTGGTGCATCTGCATTTTCTTGATCGTATTTTCATACATTTAGTATTATCGATCTCATAATATGTAAACAATCGTCTTTCCTGACTAAGATATATGATTTTAGGTTATATGCAGATGATGAAATTCCGTGAAATATAATCACACTATTTTGTTCAGCATATATGCTCGTTCTTTATTTGTTCAACTCTGTCAAGGGAAAGAAATGCATGGAACGTTGTAATGTGATATGGACACCTACAGTTGTGATACCTACCTGAAACGATCAACTTCCAAGTCTCTGAAATCGATTCATAGACATTCCAGGCTCGACATTCTAGAAAACCAGTATGCTGTTGCTGAACTTGTTCAATAGTTAGTTCATAGACACCAACTCCAACTTGGGCCACACGACAACCAGGTAATATCCTATCATCGATTTGTATATGATTCAGATACCTACATAGGAAAAAAATAAGCAAGACATTGTACACAAAATAATTATAACTTTATTTGTAATCCATTAAGTTATAAAGTTAGAGCTCATAAGTTGTGATTTGATACTTGCGATCCCCCGTCACTATGTTGAGTTCAATTGTTCGACCTCTGTTGACAGACGAGGTCCTATGAGAATGCTTCACTACTGCTGGCTTTCCATGGTGCTGTTACTGGGATCGGATTCCAGGACGTAATTTTTCGTCCTGTTTGGGACTCGTCAGTTGGATGCACCTGCACCGCAGTGAGCGATGTTCCCTCTGAGACTTGAACCTCGTACTCATTGCGCAGAAATTTAGAGGACTACCCACTAGGCCACTGGAGCACGAGAGTAGCGACTTGCACAATAGGCATCATTTTTTAGAGTTTCAGTGGAAATAGCATCACTTACTGCAGTGCAGGTACATCCAGTTGACGAGTTTTAAATAGGACGAAACGTGCATCCTGGATTCTACTGCTGGTCACCAAGATGGATACAACATTGAAGTACATAGGTTAAAGTGATCAAGTACTTCCGGATCCGATTCAGATTCCCTTTTTTGCTCCAGTACGTGCACTCATTTAGTATAGAGAACTTCCACACTGTGGTGTTTTTCTGCCGTATTCCACTTGAACAAGCTCCCTAAATAAAAACGACCACACCACATTAAAATAAAGGTGAAATGTTGCAAATGCTTAACAACAAGGCACAGTTGTTTTATGTTTTTGTGCCATGATGTTTCGAAGGCAGTTATTTCCTAATAACAAACCAATCATACTGCTTATGTGGTAGATGCATGTAGGCTAGAAGAGTCTTCCAAGCCATTATTACATTATTTTTTTCTCTTGGGTTCCTAGTGGAACATAGGGCTTCAGTAGCACGCCCCCATTGCACTCTCTTCTCTTCAGTCTTCAAAACCTGGAGCCACGACTGCCCACAAGCTTTCATCTCTTCCTCACATGATCTCCTCCTTGTCACCCTCGCCTCGGAAGCTCAACTTGTCGTTTCCCCTTTGGATTCCACTCGACGGCTTGGCCTGGCGCATGATGTCCCCAACCGATCTTCTCAGTGTATGCCAAATCCATCTCCACTTCCTTCTGCATATTTGTTGGGTGAAGGATGGGTTTATGGTTGGATGGTTCGTTGCCAGCCAGCCAGCCAGCCAGCCAGCCAGCCAGCCAGCCAGCCAGCCAGCCAGCCAGCCAGCCAGCCAGCCAGCCAGCCAGCCAGCCAGCCAGCCAGCCAGCCAGCCAGCCAGCCAGCCAGCCAGCCAGCCAGCCAGCCAGCCAGCCAGCCAGCCAGCCAGCCAGCCAGCCAGCCAGCCAGCCAGCCAGCCAGCCAGCCAGCCAGCCAGCCAGCCAGCCAGCCAGCCAGCCAGCCAGCCAGCCAGCCAGCCAGCCAGCCAGCCAGCCAGCCAGCCAGCCAGACAGACAGACAGACAGACAGACAGACAGACAGACAGACAGACTTCCTTCTTTGTTTATTCTTAGTATTCTGGCCATCTGATCTTCAGTGTCGAGTGAACGTAGGCGGCAGCTGCTGATGAATGTCCGTAGTTTGTTGGAGATGCTTTCGTAAGGCACCAAGTCTCTCAACCATTACTGGTTGACTGATATTAGTATTGAAAATCCGGATCGTGTTCACGCTTTATGCTGAGTGCAGTGCCGTGCAGTGCAGTGCAGTGCAGTAGATCTCTACACTGAATTCAGATTAATGCAGGTAAACATGTCTTGCTTTTCCGATCCTGGTTTTGACATCCTCGTCTGTGTCGCCTGTAGCTGAAACGATGCTGCCTTGTCGGGTAAGTGAAAGAGACAACTTCCCTTAGGTTTCTCCCGTTCATGGTGATTGATGCTTGTTGTTGATGCTGTTATTAATTGGGTATCTTCATCACCTCTGTCTTCTCTATATTCACTTGAAGTCCCATCTTCGCTGCTTCGTCTCTTCTGTCAACTTGTTAGTTTTCGCCTGTAGATCTTCGAGTTTGTGCGACATTAGACATAAATCAACATCAGCGAAATCCAAAGTTGTTGAAGTTGAGGTAGAGAGTTGACTGCCATTCTATACTCTTTTCTATGATCATGCGTAGCGTTGCAATTTGATCCCTATATGATTAATTCTTCCTGAAGCCGGTCGTAGTTTTGATTTCAGTGCATCCTTAATCCTCTCTCCCAGGATGATGCTGAATAATATTTTGCTTGGGGTGGACAGCAGCATGATTCCTCGCCAGTTTTTGCAAAGGCTTAGGTCTTCCTTCTTTGAAGGTTTGACAAGGTAACCCTTCTTCCAGGTAGTTACCTTCCTTCCTTCCAAACCTTCTTCAGCAGTGGTGTCAGCATGTCCGCTGTTGTCTCTGCATCTGTTTTCAGTGCTTCTGGCGGAATTCCATCTGGTCCCGCTGCTTTCCGAATTTTAGCAGTTTTATGGCATTCAGGATTTCTGCTTTTTCGGAGGGCCTGTGTTCACTGATAATTCTGTGACTGGGCTGCTGGTGGTATTTTTGGGCGAGTTGCAGGTGGGGATGGTAGTAGTCGATTCAAGAGCTTCTTGAAGTGGTCAGCCCATTGTTTCCTTTGTTTCTCCTCTCTCTTTGCTAACTAAGCCTCATTCACCATCTTTCATTGGTTTTGTCTGCGTTAATCTCCCTCCTCCCTGACAGTAACCTGGTTATTTGATATAGTGTTGTCAGGTCTCTCCTACCAGCAGCCTGTTCTGCTTCACTTGCAAGTGTGTCGTAGAAGTTTCTTTTGTCTTTCCGCATACTCTTCTTCACTTCTTTGTCCAGTGTTTCATAGGCTATGTTACGTTCCTCTTTACGTTGTGCATCCTTGCACTGGTTCATCTTCTGCTTCACCGTCTTCCTCTCCAGTATCAGCTTCCGTGTGTCCGTCTCTTCCACAGAGTTCCAGTGTTCTTCCGCGCAGGTTTCCTCAGGAATATTGATTAGTGTCTCCCTTTTTAATGATAGCTGACGTGAAGACGTCCTTTTTACTTTCGTCCTTCAGTTTCCGTTCTGAGTGTTGGATTTGAACTGTGGTCGCCTGTCACCAACTTCTTTGAAGGCTTTTAACTTGGTTTGGAAGTTTCCTTGAACTAGATAGTGAGTGGTGTGAACCTACATCTGCTCCTCTTCTTCACCTTGTGTCAAGTAGGCTGACTGCGTCTCCACTTTCTTCAGATTGAGATGAAGTCGATCTAATTTTTAGTGTGTAGTGGTGTCTGGTGAAATCCATGTTGTTGCCTTGTGAATATCCTTGTGTTTGAATACACTGCCTCACCTCCAATCACCAAATCGTTGAATGCAAAGAATTCTGCAAACAATTCTCCATTCTAGTTCATCACCTCACCGAGTGCTTCTCGACCCATGGTTTGTTCTCTTCCTGTGTTGTCTGCTCCCAGTTTGGCATTCATGTCGCCCATTAGAATTCTGATGTAGCCAACTGAGGTCTTGTTCAGTGTTGATTGAAGTTGTCTGTAGAATTCCTCCTTCTTCTCTTCATCTGCATTATTTGTAGGTGCGTAGCGTGGTATTGTTTGATTGTGACCTTCCTTCTTTTTGAGTTGAACCTTGCTGTCATCATCCAGCCGGGGGAGATTGGTTTCCACTGCATGAGAGCCTTCGATGTTGTTGGGGACATCATGATAGCCACTCGAAAACTCAGTGTGCTCGTGGTTGTCGTCTGGGTGACAATATCGGAGTAGATTATTGATTCTCCAGTTGACAGTTGGGAGAGTCCACTCCCATTCCATCTACTTTCGCAAATTCCAAGCACTTCAATGTCATAGCTCCTCACCTCTTTTGCAATCTGGGCAGCCTTGTTAGGTTCATACATGTTGCGGAAATTCCTTGTCTCCATCCTTACTTACTTTCGCTTTCATCGAGAGAAGAAACATAGGCCGACTGGCTTCCCGAAGACTTTCACCAACTGGCGTCATTTCATTTCTGCGATTCTAGTGGGGAATAAGTTTGTTTTTATTTCTTATAATTTCTTTGTGCTTTGAAGTTTCTTTAGCGGTTGGATTGGTTTTAAGGGGTAGGGTTGCTAGCCAACCTTCCTTGTTTATCCGGGCTTAGGACTGGCTAGTAACTAATGAACTAGTTAAGCAGGCGAGATTTTCAAGGCATTATACTGATGTAAGTTTAGATGAGAATATATATTTCGAGTTTTAGGTTAAAATGCTAAAAGAAATAACGGTTCGGTCAACTTTCTCGTTTTTCGAAATCCCTAACTTGTGTGTTCTCGCAAAACTAAGAAGAAATTAATGCAAAGAGAAACTTTTATTGGATATCACTCTCTCGCCCACCGCCTGAAATTAGTCTACATAGCTTTAGCCAGCATTTAATTCTCGAGATTTGTCGGAATACATACTTTGGTTAGTGGAAATTTTTGCCGTAGTTCATTCAGGTTAGTCACGAAAGGATAAAAAAATTTCCACTGCTTCGTCGTTCCACCTTACTAATAGCACAAATAATTCATTAGGAGTTGATATCTTTCTTAAAGCAAACTAAAAACTTTTAAATCTTTTTGAATTCAAGCAGACTTGAAGCAGTAAGTTCTCCCTTCTGCGCAGATATAATTGCATGCAAGTAAATACACCACTCAATAAGGCGTCTAGATTCTCAGTGGTCAGGATAATTTGCTGGCAAAATATCTAGAAATTTTGTGGTCAAATTATTCTCAGTGTTATTACCTCAATAAATTCTAACCTATGAATTCTACTGTATAACAGCAGAAGTGTGTTTTTACAGTCAGGTTATAGGTGATCAGTAAATTGAAAGGAGCATTCACAGATATTAGGCATTAGATGAAAAACTGAAAGAAGTCAGTTAAATAATTCTTCAGTTATTTAACAACTGAAACAAGTGAAACTTTTAACCATGAGGTTAGTGGTCGTCCGCTAACAATTAAATTTATTTATGGGATTCATACTACTTGCAAAGAGGAGTAGTGTACTAAAATTATATCAAACGTAGGCTACAGCAGTTATCATTCTTAATTCAGCTAAACCAAATAGTCACTTACCAGGTAACCTCTGGCTTCGGTTCTCCTTCAATTTCTACAGATAGTACTAGTTTTTTTCCATGAACAGCATAGATAATCCGATCGTCCTTCAAATTCAGAAAACGTAATGAGCTTCGCTCTGTAAATTGAAGGTACAGAAAGTGGTCAATTAATTTTCGTAATTTAACTTATTTGATACTGTTAAAAAATTGTAGAAAGCTCATCTGGAATATCATTGTAATTAGCTTGTTTGGGCGTTGGTAGCGTAGTATGCTATAAAAAAACTTCCAGTAAACTACGCCTTGGAAGCTCCGAGAGTAAAGTAAGTCGCAAATGTCTTTCATCCATTTCAAGTTATTATAATTAAATGAATATATACTAGGATGTTTGCAGACGAACAAACAGAAATAACAGATTATTACTGTGAGCTCGTCTAGAATATCAAGCCCTAAGAACTAATCAAATTAACTGAGTATAGATTAAATGGTATTCTAAGCATGGGACTTCACAGCACATTTTCAATTTCAATAATGTATTTATATAAGCGATTAGAAATATAAATTCAGTTTGGATGTGCCTGAATGACAGTGATGCTATGTTAGAGTTGTCACTCTTTCTTGATATAAATGAGAGACAAATATAAGCAACATAACATCTAGCATAATAATGCATCGGTTCATTTGCCACAATTCATATCAGTCATATTAAAGTGAAGTGTTTGCAACAAGACAAAAATATAAGGATATTGTATCAGTGGTTAAACTACAAGGTGGAAAAAGTGAAAAAATGGTGATAAAAACTTCAATATTTAAGTGAAGATAAAATCTGGAGCTATGCAACTGCAATCGATTCTCCACAGTACCACCCAAATTTCGCAAACAAGGATTTTAGTTGTCTAGGAGATTCGAGACAGTCACCGTACGTTTTCTATACAGGTCAGACTAGAAATGCGCACGAGTTACGGTATGCAACCAATGAAGGAGCTGACGCCATCTTTCGCCTTTAATGGCCATGCCTAAAAGACAAAATTACTGCGGTGTTGGATTATGGAGTTCAATTAGCTCTAGTCATCAATTGCAAAAAATGCTATAGTACTTACTGTGTTGAAACCAACCTGAAATCTCTCTCTTTACACTTGAGATTTGTGCTGTTGATAAATAAGGGGTTATCTGAGTGGAGTTTTAATAGGCAATCACCGTTATTCGTTACTTTGGTTGTGATTCCGAAAGCCTCACCTAGGAATCTTTCTGTCTTTCTTAGCCAACCCACTAGTGCCGTGAAATCGCCTACTATGAACACTAAATCTAAATGTATGGCCTTCATTAGGAGGCTGGGTAGATTTTGGTAGAACTCATCCTTCACTTCATTCGAAATGCAGTCGGTAAGTGCATAAGGTGAGATTACAAACAGACATCGGCGACTTTTCACTACTATTTTTAGTTTTCATTGCACCATCCAATCGAACAGCCCATAGGATCCAGACAAGTAGTGCACGTCTTGCCTTAGGATTTAATTCTATGCCTCCACCTGTAAGACCACGTTAAAACTAGTCGTCAAATATCCAGAAACTCAAGGAATGAATTTCACAGATTTGCTATACTGACCGGATGAGGTTAAGTGAATAACCACAAACGTTCGTTGCTCGAGATGCCAAAGTTCTGAGTATTAAAGCTTGTTGAATGATATGACGGAGAGTAAGTACACTGAAAGGTATAATATGTAGAACAGAGCACGGTTTTAAGTGACCAGCAATACTGTTTAGTGAAATCGAGTTTTTATCGAGAGCTGATGAGTCGGAATAAATAAAAGATGATGTAGGTATATCGACAGATGGATATGAGGACGGATTATGAAGCGAAAATGTGTTAGGCTGATAATGATCTGAGGATACTTATGTTAACAGGATGGTGAGGCCGTTTGACACTTCCCGGTTACGCGTACTGTAGAAGGTTACTTCTTCTTGAAGTAACTGAAGAATAAGTTGAGTTAATAATAGTGGTGCGTGACCGCATAGTCCATGGAACATATGCTTCAGGCCTGTCACACACGGCCTTTCCGGAAGTATGAAGTTTAGTTTGTACTGACTTAAACACAGCTACAGAACCCATACTCCGACCTTGGGAAACTACGGGACAGGTTTGCTACTTATAGAAGCAACCTCTCTAACCCTCTCTTTCCATACAAAGATAGCATCAGCATAGTATTGCTGGTCATCCATGAGAAACGCCTTGCTGGTGTCCCGCATATTATCCAAGGGGCTGTACCATCTTACTCTTGGATCTTTCGGGTGTGGTGGGACCTCAACGGAACGAGTGTTTCAATCAGCATAGTTCTCTGGGTCACTGTGATATGCAAGCCCAACCATCAAGTCATGATACCAGCTGTCAGTCGGGATAGCTTCAACTCCTCAGACGAATTTTGGGACACTGTTCAACTTGGTTATCCAGGAGAGACAGAGCGAATCCCAACAGTTCTATTCTCAGACATCTCGTCCTCTTCGGACACTTGATCCCTCCCGAAAGTGCCCTCAAATTAATTTACAGAGATCCGCCCTACCATTCCAAAGGATTTCTACTATGTAATCTATGCATAGTCGAATCATTGACAGTTCACTACTCCAAACATAATATTTGCGTTCGAACATTATGTGCCGCCTTTTGGCCTTTACATTATCAGAGTAGTGGTTTTCTTTGTTTGTAAACTACTTCTTATTCTACGCTTGAACACTATAGTAATCCCATAGCCCAGCTGATAAGTGACAGACTGTTATTTTAAGCATTTAAAGATTCCTATTCCGCCAATTTAAAGACAAAATGGATGAAGATTCTGACTTCAAAGGTGACTTCGCTGCTAATATTTCGGAAAGGAGAATTTCAAACTTGCCAACAAAAACTTTCTCCGCACCAACCTTCAGGACTGTATTCTCTAGTCGTTTAATGATTCCTGGCAACCCGATAAATAAGCTTGCGCATCTGCCCACTTTACCTACTCCTATGAAGCCAGCAGTGTGGGTCGTTCGATGCGCATCCTTTCCAAACAGGTCAGAGAATATTACCCTGCTCTGCTGCAAAGAGGTCTGAGTAGATAGATCAGAAGTGCAATAATTGAGCACCTTGTCAACACTGGTCACAGTATGACAAAGTCACAAAGTTGAAAAGAAATTTGCCCAAAATGGTACATTTCCTTCTGTGTATTGCAGAAGCTTTTGTTATATGCATGGAGAAAGCGGAATTATGTATACAAAAGAAACTTCTACGATCTTTGCTTCAGTCTTGGAAATAATAAATCCCTAGAAGTGTCAACGTCTATCTCTCCCTTAATGTTCACAATTTTTCCACATTTTATTACATATTTTAATAACTCAACATCGTGTTTATTTTGTCTTCATGCTACGCCTGATTACGATTCGTCTTGAAAATTACTTTTACATATAGTGCTACGTTATATTCTATCTAGTTAATTATATTGGTTGCTATGCTCTTTTATGATTAATTTTCACCATACATCACACCTATGAATTTTTGATTTGTATTCAGTTTGATCTCTGTAAACAGATTTAATTAAATAATGATTGTAATAATCCAATATAGAGGAACAAAAAATGTCATATGTTTATGTTTGCGATTGTACAGCTGTAGAGAATGAAACTGCCAGAAAAGATATATTTGCTGAACTTGTTTTCTCTAAAGAAAAAAGTAAAAAATAAATACGATGGGAATACCATTTCGTTTATAGAAAACCTGGGGAGGAATAATGCCCAAACGTGTGCCTTCCAAATACAAAGCACAGGTTTGATCAGTTACACTGCTACAGCCCCAGCCGTATTGAGTAGGTGTTTGCGAAACTTACATAGTAACGTTTCCATAACCTGATGTATAACACCAAAGGTTCAGTTATCCATTATGTGATGCTCCTAATCTTACAAGTGGGCTAGAATAGAACTTTTTACAACTTTAACTTAACCTTTTCAAAACCAGTCGGGCAAATATTCTGGTATCCGGACAGGTACCTGCCTAATCGTTCGCCCTATGTAACTTTTTGCACAGAACCAGTTAGATTGGCGTGTGCAAGAAAGGGAGCTTAAGATAGTGAGGATATATTTGCCTCGGATTCAGCATTGACCGGTTACTCAAAGATATGCTAAGACAACCTTATTAAAACGTTCTATTTACTGCTCTCTAGCTAGGCGTTGTGATATGTCACTTGCGGCGTCTTTATTGAATTGTAGACTCAGAAACACGGGTAACTTCTGCACTGTCGTCAATTCACTTTTGAGATTATCGTAAGCGATATTTGTTTTGATAAAATTTTCACTCAAACTTTAACGGTTACTCATGTACTCCATACGCTTTTCGGGAAAAACTGATTACACTCTAAACTCTAGGTTAGTGATTGCATTACATTTGTGCTTCACAGGTTCGAAGCTAAGAAAGTGTGTCAGTCTGTGTCTCAGTAATCGGCTTCCTATATATACTTCTCTTTGTGGAGCCATCTTCTCGCCTTGTTATAAAAACGTCATGAAAATGATTTCACTTTCACAGGTAAAAAGATCTAATAGATGAACATTAGTGAAGTGATTTTAGGATTGAATAACTACTAAGGCATTTATTAAAGACTAAAAAGGTCTGTTATTTGTTTGCAATAATCATTAATACAATTGTACAACTTTAGTGAACGAAATCATCACAAGAAAAGTTTCTTCGTCATCGCATTTTTGTTCAATGACTAAATATCAGAATTTACGGTTCATTATTGTTATTGTTAAAAATAACAAAAAATGTGAATAAAGCCAGACTTACTGGTTGGAGGAATCAATGTGATTGGAGTTTGTGTAATGGCTGGCAAACTTTGTTTATCATCCAGTTCAGCGAAAACACGAAACTGCCATTGTTGTTGGTCTAAGTCAACTGATCTTATATGCCTTCGTCTAGCTGTAGACCGTATACCAACACCTTCATAACTAGGTAACTGATCAGATTTGGAGAATAAATTATCTAACTTTACATGATTGATAAAATATTGAGTTGATTTTAATTCCGAGACAACCTTTGTCCATGTGGTGATTGGTTCTCCAGAGAATTAAAACTTCTTACTTCAATTCTATAAAGTAACTTTTCATCCAACCGGTTAGGCATTTCTGGAGCTTTCCAAGTTAACATGATGCCTTCTTGACCTCCTTCAACTTTTCCACTGGCACTGAGTAATCTCGGTTTATCGATCCATTGTATCTTCAAATTTTCATCAAGTGAATCACGTTTTCCAAGTGTTTTAAATGGTGTTGATAGCTGACAATATTTTGTACTACGTGTTTTGGTCGATTCTTCAAAGCCAACTAGACGGAAATTATACGTGGTGCCAGAAGATAAACCATGTACTTCATAAGATGTTTCAGAAGCATGAACTTTAGCGATAGGCTCCCAAATATTTGGTTTGAACTCATTTATAACGCATCGTTCTAAAATCAGATAACCTGGGTATGTTTTCGTTTCACCCGTTATCAAAGAATCCCAACCCAATAAAGCAGAAGTTGGACCTATGTGAAGAACATGCAATCGATCTGGTACTATTCTGCCAATATCAAATGCTGTATCACTCGATAAACGTCTCCTTGAATCCTCATGAATACGAGAGATGTGTCCAAATTCGACACTTTCATCGGCAGAACGAATCCAATCAGATAGTAAACCATCGTATGATAGTGAGTAGTTGCCACGTTTTTCAATGATGGACGAAACATCAGCTAATGTTGCACGTATACGGAATCTGACTGTAGAATCGCCTACCGGCAAGACATAATTTGTTAGACGTGTTCGACCAACTTCTAACCAAAATCGTCTTGCTGGAGTTTGTTCTTCAATGATATATTCAATTTGATCATCTAGTTTATTTAAATGTATAGTGTTGTCTGTTTTTGCTGTTGTACTCCTTAGATGCACTGGTCGCCAACTCAAACGGTAGACTCCATCACTAACTGATTCAATATGCAGTGGACCTTTAGGTGGAGGTATAATTAAAGAATCATAATCTATTTTATCATATTCTAATGATTTGGTACCATGTAGGGTGTAAGTGTTTCTATAGGTCGTCCGAATAAATCGTCTCTATACGGCATAACACGGAATCGGTAAGAATGACCAGGTATCAAACCCGTCACAGTAACACCACGGAAGGGATGAATTATCTCATTTGTACTCATTCGAGTAACTGTTCTCCAACCAGTTGGTTCGTTTAAATCGTATAAATCCAGAATATATCCTGTGAGTGGCTCACTGGTTGGGTTCCAGTTCAAGGAGACAGATGGTGTAAGAGAGGACGTAGAAACTGGTTGTACAATTAAATCACCCGTGAGCCTTGGCATAGTTACTGAGAAGAGTGGAAAAAGAGATTCTTAAAATATCAAAAGAATAGTAAATTGAATAGCTAGTTTGTCAATTAGTGAAATTGGAATCGGTTTGTCAGAGTAACCTTGTGTTCCAGCTGGGGAAACATGCATTCACTATTGAAACTCCTGTTATAAGTCAGAACTTTTTCGACCGCTGTCATCATTTGGAGACAAACAATTATCAAGAAACTGACCTTCATGGTTTAGAAACAATTAGTTCATGAAGCAAAAATGTTTACAAGCCAATAGGTCTCTCAAACATCATACAAATGAACACATCTTTCCGATATATGAGTTGATGAGCACGTGAAAGCTTATCCAATTTTCAGTTCTAAATGCCTATCAAGCCCAAGAATTTCATTGGTTACCAATCAGTAGCTGACATGGATTCATAGTTCCGTCCTAATCTGAAAAGCTTCAACACAAAGTGTCTGACTTCTGCGCTGAATGCAATAAGTTTTAATTTCAAGCAGAATATAAGTTCTGTCAAGGTTTCAGGGACACCTGATTATAAGCAGGAAAAACTGCCTTAATATATAATGCTTATCAATGATCAGTAAATTTTCATTCACTTCAGAAACTGTATCTAATTAAGCTCAGTAAATATGGAAGCATAATGAGTTTACCTCAACTTAAGGCTTTTATAAAAAGATTCAAGAGATAGGTCACCGGTTGAATGAGATACGACACTATCCACCAGAATACCAGTCTAGTTAGTTAAATGTATAATGCTTCTTATGAAAATTAAATTTTTAAGTTCATATTGCGTTACAGTAAATCCCCACTTTTAAAAAATGTGTTCCATTTTTCTTTGGAACTTTGAAGTATAAAAGTTATCCAATTCAGCTGTAGTTGATAATTGATATACTTGTCTGTCCTTTTAAACCTTACACAATTTTAATCCCATAATAAGATTAATATGCAGATAACTGACAAAATGCATGTAACCATCCGATGTGTATTTATTTATAAGTGTGGAATGCTGCAATCAAAGGTAGAGCCTGATGAGACTTTAATGAAAACTGCCTATTCGCTCAAATTCTTATCCTTAAACTGATTCCACTGTTACCACTTTAACTCGAGAAGTTACTGCTAATTATTCAAGATAACTTGATTTATATAAATGTAGCATGCCTTTGGTTTTTGAACTAGGTGAATATTAGGCAAGGATAAGGATTCTGATAAGGATAAGAATTGATAAGAACTGATAAGGATTCTAAGAAGAGGATAAAGCAAATTAACGGTCTTCTGATAATGTGACTCTTCAGATGTTCCAAATTCAGTGGTGATTACTGTTTTCGAGCAATCTGAACCTGTTACGCATAGAAAAACCCAACTTTCATCAGTGGTTTCAGCACTGCATCCAACTCTTACTTGTTAAATGTTACCATTATAATGACCCACAAGAATATATATATATATATATATATATATATATATATATATATATAAACTCACGTGATTGTCTTGGCACTTCAAATATTTCTGAATGAGTCGCCTCACTAAAAACCCCGGAATCAACTGTACTTCGGCCAATTCTTCCAAATCGTGATGGTGTAAAAGAACGTGAATCAGTGGTCTTTCCACGTGACATTATACGGAACAAATATCTGCTGCCAGGTTCTAAATCATTTGTTTGATAAGAAGTTTCCCATGCATTCAGTTCCGCTAAACGTTTCCATTTAGTCGGTTCACTTTCTTTGGACGGCAGTACACAGTATTCTAGTACATATCCCATTGGTGGAGACCATAATGCCAAATTATTACGTCGTTCTGAAAATGTTACTGTTCCTGGGGGCAGCCATGTTATTAAAGCACTTTTAGAAGTGCCAGTCAATGATGAAACTCTCAAATGAGATGGAGGGGCAGGTATTGCTATGTATATGAAGAAAAACCCATTGTAATAACTTGTATGAATAAACTTAACAAGGAAACACAACATTTATACAGGATTAAAACTTGAACATTGTGGTGGATTGCAATTTCATTTTAGTTTGTTTCTTAAATGTGTCACAGTGAAATATTGTTTACTGGATAAGGTTTCGAACATAATTTATTGAAACAAAGCGCAATTAAAGTTATTATATGAAGCTAGTTTTTCAAAATTTGTTCAAAAAAACCAGTTTATCTTGATTACAGTTTAATACATAGTTCAATTTTATGATTAACATACAAAAACTGATCTATTGCACATGAAAACCATTCAGTTTTCTCAGTTACAAATCACATCCCATCATATCAAATTAAAAACATTTTTAAACTGTACTGATCATCTAAAAAATCTGGTCAGACTACATTCTGTTACAATTTGTTCAAAATAAATAACCCTGAGTGATAAGGTGGAAATTAGTACTGCTAGGAGAGATAGTCATATGTTTGTCAACAAAAATCAGTAGTAAGCACTGATTAATGGTACTTGTTATAATGTACAATAAGATCACCCAGATCCTAATAAGAAGCCCTAAATCTTTGAAGCCTTTCATAACCAGTCTTTTTCCAAAGAAGTTTCGAGAAAAGGTACATGATCACACATGTAAATATTAGATTGGTTGAAAGGTGAAAGCAATGGTGAATGTACTTCTGGAAATAGACAAAGCCATTGTAAATATATATACCCATTATATTTTGAGCTTATTTTGAATTTGCAGTGCACCTACTTTTTTGCTACCTTTTCGATTTACCAAGGGACTAAGAGATCAAAAAGGGTGAAATCGGAACCAGGTTGTATCAGTACTCCTTTTACGCTTAACATCCAGTATACTAAAATCTATATACAGATAAGTGAACAGTCAATAACTTAGCCTTGACCGAACCAATGAGTTTCACCCTCATCGAATCTAGTACGTGGTTTGAATTATTCAAATCAAAGAGATCCCGCCCACACACCTGCTACCCAAAGTAACCTTTACGTAAACGTCAATCTTGGACGGTTTAATCGGTCTATACTTCAGCAGTTCTAAGTATCAGCTTACTCTGTATTACTGTTAAGCTACTGTCACTAAGTAAGCATGTTGCTTCCAGTTTAAAGGAGAATACAACTATTGAAATTTCTGAAGAACTCACCTACTGACTAAAAAGAATCTACACATATCTAGAAAACTAATTTTCATCTAATCTAAGCTTTTACATAGACGTGATTGATAGATATACGGTATGGAGTACAGGTACACGGCGTAAAACCCATATTGAACCAAGCACATAACCCTATCCCGCCGTTCTTTGCAGATCTGACAACAATGTCACAAGAGCACCATCAGAGTATAAGACAGACTAGGATGGATGATTGATCCACTTTCCTTATACCAAATGGAAAGCGGTTGTTTGGTTAGATTACAACATGAAATACTTTCAGTCATCAAAATATAGTTGAAAAACAGTGCTTTTTTATTTGCTCTGAATAAAAAATGAAAAGGTATCCGATAGTAAATACGATAAAACATAGGGGGCTAGAAGATGTTGGTGCATGTTACTTGGTGGAAACGGAGAGTAATACGGCCAGATTTGGCAAAAAGGCAAAATGAGTAATAAGCTTGTATAGTAGTGATCCACAGTCTAAGAGCAAGACTATAATGGAAATAGTTGCTGAACTGCGCTAAACTGCTCCAGCAGCTAAAGTTTCCAAATTATGGGCTACCTATGCTATCTCTACAGGCATCTAGAGTCGTCTAACAAGAGTCATCTCACGTAGGTCAGCTCATACTGCCTTTCTCATCCTGTCTAATGCTAACTATAGTGATTAGATCTAACTGAGATACTGCTGAGATGGAACTGGATAAAATACATATTCCTTATTCAGGCAACAATGAAAGAACTAAATGATTACAATAGAATTGAAAGACTTAAACTTCCTACAAGTTGGCTGTTAGCATAGCATTTCATTAACAGTCTAAGAGGTAATAGATTCGAACCCAATCATGACTCAAGTTCAATTATTGCAAATAAAAATGAAAAAATTAACCGCAAGATAATATCGTACCTTTTGTTTCAGTATCCAACTTTGGTATAAAAACAGGTTGTGGAAGAACGGTTGGTTCACTTCGAGCATCTCTAGTTTCCGTTAGAACACGGAAATGATACGTTTGTCCGAGAGGTAAACCATTTACTTGTAATTCGTACGTGCCCGGTATGGATTCTGCACTGACTGCAGCTGATCGTCGAGCTACAGGCCACCATTCTTGTTTGTCTGGACGCCATGATTCAATAACAAAGTCAGCATTGGAGCGCAAAGTTGAAGGCATGCCGGTTGGAGGATGCCAGCGTAGAGTCACACTTCCTGATCTGTCTTGTAAACGCCCACTAGGTGCTCCCATAGACACATCAACCAAATGGAATCGTTCAGGAGGAGATATCATTGGTTGGGGAACAAATGGAGCCTTGATTTCCATTGTCACAGGTCCTGGTGACCTTATTGTTCTGAAGTCTTCAGGTCTTAAATGTGACGCAGTCCAGCTAACTACGTCTGACTCCAAAAACTTTCCAACCCCAAAATGACTTCTGGGAGCAACACGAAACTGGTAACCTTCAAATAGTGGTTTATCTTCCAGTTTATAAGCTGAACCTAAACTGGAGCGCGGTCTATTGAGTTCTTCCATCTTTGGACGATAGATGAACTTTTCTTGTCCATATGGTAAACTAGCTATTGTTTGCCATCCTATATCTTCAGCTTTTCTGACTTGAAGAAGGTAACTTGTATCTGGTATAATACGGTGGCTTAATAGATCATCACTTGATGCTGTGCTCCGTCTCCTGTACTCTGGTGCCACTGAGGGCCAATGCAGTTCAATTTGAGGTAGCTGATATTCTGATGATGTTGGTAGTAAACGAGCTTGAAGATTACCAGGGGTAAATTTTGGATATTCAAGCTCAGGTTGGGATCCATATGCAAATCGACTGGATGGTTCGATTCTCGTCACCAGGGGTGCACTTGAACCGAAATCATTTTCACCCCTTACTCGGTACAGAAGAGTAGAGGGGAATTGGTATGACTCGCTTTTGGATGATGTTGGTAGAATTCGAACGTCAGCAGATGTTACAGTGCCAGGCACACGGCCTACTTCAATCCAAGGTCCACCTGGTCTACACGCTTCGCTTGCTTCGATGACGTAAGTTGACGGCATGGATCGTGATTCATCTAATTTGTACGGACCATTGACAGAATGCTGCCATTCTAGATGAACACGTGAATCAAATGGAAGTAATTCTGACCTTAATGGACCCACCGGGGCAGCAGGTGGCAGTGGTCGATAACTAGTACGTGAAGAGGGCCTACTAGTCTGGTCTAACAATAATGCCTCAAAGTTTAATGGTCTTGTAGTTTCTAGCGGACTACTCGCACCCATACGGTTAACTGCTCGGACACGAAATGAATACGGTGAGACATTAGTTAAAGCACTTGGGAATGGAATCATCGCTTTAGTTGTTTCTCCTGAAACAGACAATACTGGAATCCATTCATTTATAAAACTTTTAATCGGACCTCCACGACGTTCTATCACATATTCTGTTATTGGTAGACCACCTGTATCCAAAGGAGGATGCCATTTAAGCTCAATACTCTTTGAATCTTGGATGGAAGAGGATAGTGGGGATTCGACTCTTTCTAGAACCGATGATGGTCTTCTCGAATATACTGGGGAATACATTGGTAGTATATCAGCCATTAGTGGTCCTCTGGGTTTTGAAGGGATATCTGATAAGTGAAAAATGTACACAGTGTTTATAAGAATGATGGTGAAATTATTCATGAAAAACGACATACATAATTTCTAGGAGAATAAAAGTATCTGCTTATTAGAAAGCATGATTCTAGTCAGTAAACGTACTAGCATAATAACTAACTGATCTCACAATAGCAAAGATTTTATGAGAGATTGAATAAGTTATCTCAGAATTGCAGAATTGAAAGAGAAAGCACAGGAATACATGATGGAAATGCAACCTAGCCTGATAATTTAGAATATCGATGGCTAGGGTGTTAAATTATCAATCAACTCATGCTGTGAGTGACAACACTGAAGTCAAAGGCAAATTTTACATTTCAGAGTGGTTTCAAATTATATATGAAAGACATATTTTTGGGTTAGTTGATGAAGCCAATGATTTTAAGGAGACTATGGGTGAAAGAAATTACACATGTGATCAGATTTTTCGAAATGTGTTGCACAAATACATTATTTGACCGATATTCAATCCTCTGCTCCTTAACTCTATAAGTTTTCATATAAAAGAATTTAATGTCATTTTAAGTATTTCCTAATAAAATACACGATGATAAAGTGAGCCATAGTCATCTTTTTGCAGCAAAAACTCACTCTCTGTTTTATAATACATGATAGGATTGCTTTACGTAATCGTAATAAATCATTCTGATTGAAGTGCAGGGTGAAAATTGGTTAGCGCTTACCTGAATCGACGAAATGGTATTAAGTTATGTCCTGTACATAACCTCAGCGTTTATAAAGACTATCAATTTATCCACTGAATTAAAGAAATAAGCATTACCGAACAATTTATTGTACATGAGATAACTGCAGTGAACTAGATATTTATCTCTAGGCTTGAAATGGATATTTACTGATTCTTCGGAAAACTTAAGCCTCAACTTGGATTCGAACATTTATCGTCTTGTGTTTCGGTTAGAGGTATTACCACTCAACAAGGGAGTATACAGACTGTAGTGGCAAATTTTCGAAAATAACCCACCCCTTATACGTGTTAAATCACGAATGTATGGTTCAATGATAAAACGTATGATCTCTGGGTCAGTTGATGAATTTCTTCAGCTTCATCTATAGCCTTTTAAGCAAGTGAAAATTTTATAACTGTAATCAATCATTACGATAAATCTTAATACATAATAACAATACACACGATAAGACATACATTTTAATTTTTCTTTTTCCCCCACAAATATAACAGCGTTGTAAATCTCATCCAGATGTCTTTTTAAGCCGTCACGAGTTGGTAATAAGATTTTTATCTATGTTATAAACCATCTTCAGATTAGTCGAATTCTTGGAGCCACTCACTCAAATAATACTTATTCGCACCAGACCTCGCCAGAGCACTCAGTGCCTGAAATCTTATTGGGATTTGATTTACAACCAAATCTCTTAACTCAGTCAACATATTACTGAATGTCAACGCTTATAATCCTGCTGTGGTTCAGTCTTCCTATGTAATGCATATTTCTCTGTTCATTAAATAGTGTAACCGGTCAAAAAGTGGATGAAAACCTTATCGATTAAAAAACAAAACAAGTGACCGTTATTTTTGTGATAAAAAGTGCAAATCTTACCATAAGGAGGAATGAACTGATAAGATAGAGTATCAGTCACTGGAATCGGCGGTCCAGAACGACTGGGTCGAGTAGCTATACGTAATTCAATATGTTCACCAGGCTTTAAATTATCCAACCTATATTCCACTGGACTGGTAATCGGTGCAATTCCATCAATTAAATCTAAACTTTTTGGCATTCCAATAGATTTCCATTCTAAGTCATATGGTCGTCTCATTTCCAGTCGGTAATCTGAAATACCACGCTGAGGCGATTTACTGAGTAACGTCTCTGAAGGTTTCCATTGGACACGTATTGCATCTGCTCCATCTGGTAAAACAGTTAATGGCTCACCGGCAGTAAACGGTAAAGAGCTTCTTGAAGAAAATCTTCGCAGACTTATGGGTTCTGATAACTTTATTGTATCTAAAGTAGACATGATCGGTCCTATTTGAACACCACGGACAGGTGCCACACCAATATATATATCTCGACCTTGTGGTAGTAAAGATGATCTAATGTGAGTATTAGTGACACTACTAGGAATAGTTTGAATCTGTTTCCAATCAGAATGACCTAACTCTCTGGCTAATATCAGGTAAGAGTCTGGTAAACTTTCTGAACCACGTTGTACGAT